CTAGTGAGTTAGAACAAACCTACCATGGTTTCACGTAAGCTGATCGATCCACTTAGGTGAAACCTAGGTAGGTTTGTCTGGCTCACTAGGTTTATCTAGGTCTGCTCTACGGTTGTATTGAGCTCTTTTAGTTAGTTGTTTACTCGTGTCGGGGTTTTTTCTTTGGGCTTCAGACCTGTATCTGTGCGATTTTTTCGACAGACTTTCATGTTTCTAGCTCTTTCTTTTTTAAAAACCATTTTTTCCCTCGAGATTGATTTGATTATTGGGGAAATTTTCAAAAATTCGAGAGTTTTTCAAATAGTATATATTACCTATATATATATATATATATATATATATATATATATATATATATATATATATATATATACAGAAAGTATTTATCAAATGCATTATTTATATAGAGGGATAAGTTCAACCAGAATTTCAACCTAAAATAAACATCACACTTATTAATCTGCATCCGCTCCTCGGATATTTCCCAAAATCTCCTTTCCTAAATGATATGCCTCTTTCGAAGGACCTGAAAAAATTAACACAATAATGACAAAAATTAAATTAAAGACCTCTTATTTGAATTAAATATTTCATCAAATCAAATCAAAATAAAATAATAAATAATAGTTACATTATAAATATATAAAAAATGAATTTCAACAACTACCATAATGACATTTATACACTTTCGTTTATTATGTTTGAAATTTTGAACCCATCATAGTTTATCTTGACTTCACAGTGAGCATGAAAAATATTTATAAGAACCCTTAAATTAGAATTTTTGAAAGCCTAAAGGTTTTTTTTTCTGTTTACAATTACTTATTGCGAAATAAAATTATTACATTTGACTTGAGATTGCCCATCAAAATATGAAACACTCGGTAACTCGGTATATATATAGGGTAACCTGGATACAAGAGAGTTGTCGGGACCGGAGAAGAAGTCTCTTATATCCGGGTTTCTCTTATATCCGGATTTGGTCTATTTTATATACATTAACACAGGCTCTAATTTGAGACCAGAGAAAATCTATCTTATATCCGGGTTTCTCTTATATCCTGGTTACACTGTATATATATATATATATATATATATATATATAGCTGGATTGATGAATCCAATCTATCGCTGATATTGAGCGCTTTCCAATAAGTACCGTGCATATATAATATATAAATATGTATAAAAAATCACACACATATATATATATATATATATATATATATATATATGTGAAAAGTGTATATAAATATAAATAAATATATATATATGTATGTATAATTATTTATATATTATATGCGCGGTACTTATTAGAAAGCGTTCACTATCAGAGATAGAGCTAACATATTTGGTTGGATAGATGTGAGTTTGTGACCCTGGGTTTCACGGAGTTTGTCTGACGATCGCTAAAGCGTAAAACCCAGGGTCACAAACTCATTCTATCCATCCAACTATATATATATATATATATATATATATATTTGTGTGTGTATTCACTCGTTCTCGATATGCGCATAAAATCAAAAGGAGACTCGCTAGACCGTGAATTTCGCCGTAGCTAAACAGTTAAAGCATGTCGAATCAAACGGGAGACAAAGGTTCGAATCATGTCAGAAGGCAGAGGATCTTTTGTTAAGTTTTCCCCTACGCGTAGACCGGCAGACCAAATAAAACTATTTAAAAAAATAATAAAGTGTCTACTCAAATATAAGTTTACTCTAAAAATAATGTTTGAAGTAATAACAATACATCAGATTAAAGAATAAATTCTATTACTTCTTTAGAAATATAAATATATTACTAAAGAATATATATATATATATATATATATATAAATATATAAGTGAACATAGAAGTCAACACTTAGAGGCGATAGTCTGTTTCATGCTATATGCAATCGTCAGGTGGCCTGACGATTGCATATAGCAATTGACGATATATATTTTGCTACTAACCCGCATTCCTGGAACTACTAACCTGCATTACCAGTTTGTATTATTTACATTAATACATTTATTTTCTTATATTCCTTCTTGGCGTTTGTTATTTATTGGTGCCGGATTTCATCTCCGAATGCACTTCAGTTACCGAGTGTAAGAGAATATGAGAAGAAGAAAAAGAAAAACACTATTAATTAGAAAGAAGAACAAAAGAAGAGCAATTGAGAATACAGCGGATAACGTTTAACCATTGGATTGAAATATTTGAAGATCAAAGTTGACTGTAAAGCAAGAAACAGGAAGAAAATGCTGCAGTTGAAATTCCAAAGTTTCATGGAACACCGCTCACCAAGTACAAATTATCAGATCTTTTGACCACGAAGAACTGGTTTGCACAAGACTCCAGAATTAGTCAATAGGAAGAATGGTTGAACATACTGTTAAGCAATTTATAAACTACATATATTTTTTATCACTTTAAACGTTATGCTTTTGAATACTCGTTATTGGGTAGACGATGCGTTTATTTATTAAAAAAATAAAATTATTCATTTTTGACTACCGACCTGAATGCCCGAGTAATTTTACTAAAGGCGGCAAAGTAAAATAAATAAAAGTACAGTTTAATGAATAAAACGGAGCGTCGGCACAAAAAAACGAGCATACTTTCACAAAAGCATATTTTATATATATATATATATATATATATATATATATATATATATATATATATATGATACTTATATGAGTATCGTCTACGGTTGGCACGTGTTATTTCTCATTGATTTCACACACACATATATGTGGAGCAGTATAAACATACATAAATATACTTGTATATATCGACACATACACACACTGATATATATATATATATATATATATATATATATATATATATATATATTCAAAATTATAACAAAAACACGTTATTATAACATGTTTATGTTATTTCTGAATAAATACTATTTGCTTTACTCTTTTAAGAACAGTATTTCTTTTTTATTGAATTTTTGTTGCGCATATACGAATCATACTTGTGTCTCTCTGTGTGTGTGCATGTATATATATATATATATATATATATATATATATATATATATATATATAAATATATATATATATATATATATATATATTTATATATATATATATATATATGTAAATATATATATATATATATATATATATATATGTAAATATATATATGTATATATATAAATAAAAATATATATATATATATATATTTAAAAAAAATGGACAAAAGGTCCGATTAAAGACATTTTTTTATGTTTAACGTTGTTATTTTATAGAAAATACAAGAACGAATATTTTCTATGAAAATGCTCTGTTTATAATAAATGTTATTTAATAACATTTATCATAATGTCAGAGCATTTTCTTAAATAATGTATCTCAAAATAACAACGTTAAACATAAAAAATGTCTTTAATAAATAAATTGTCGGACCTTGTCCATTTCTTAACATATGACGTCATTTATTTAAATTCGATACGCCAGAGCAGTTATGAATGTACGAGATTCATGGAAGATAGGAGTTTATAAGCAGTAAATTCGACCTTGTCTACATATTGGTTCTTTGTAGCCTAGAGGTAAAGGCACGTCAGCGTGTATGACGGTTCCGTATAGGATGCAGGTTCGAATCCTGTCAAAGAACGAATATTTTCTATGAAAATTTCTCGGACATTCAGACCGGTAAATGTTATTTAATACTGTTTATCATAAACAGAGCATTTGCTTAAATACTTGTATCTATAAAATAACAACGTTAAACATAAAAAAAAATGTCTTTAATAAATATATATTTATATATATATATATACATCCAAGTATAAGATTAGTGTAGACGGAGTAAAATTCCAATAGCCAAAAATACTATTCTTAAAAGGGTTCTCAATACAGAGCAGAGCAAATATTATTTATTAAAAAATTATAACATAAATATGTTATTAAATCACTACAAAAATAGCTATTTTGTTTCAACACTTCTGGTGTCTCATCAAGTGATGGTGTTGAATGTAGAATAAAGAGATGTAAAAATTTCAAATCAAGCAAACACCCTTCTGTAGGGGAAACGCTTTCACATAATCTACAATGAACAATCAAAATGCAAATGTATAATAATTCAAAATACTTGATAACGAACATTGGTTATAATTACTAATGCCTTAATGTTATGTTAGACTAAACTAGAAATGATTCTGATTAATTTTAAATTTTACAATAAAAATGCAAATAGAAATTACCAATTGTAAATTTTGAATTTAACCTTTATTAAGTTTATGATATGATAAAATTATTTAAACAAGGAACTGAGGAAAAGTACCTAAAATTTATTATTTATTTTGTGTTAATCGAAAAGGCAAAATCTCAGTTAAGAGCAAACGCTAATCTAAAGAGATACAAATATAATACAACTTAGATACATTTGAAGTGATGATATGGGCTGGGGAAGAAATTTAGCAAATGGCAATACATACACAATCATATTGGAATATACAAACACATAGACATATTTAGATATATAAACATGTAAAAACACGGACGAAACAGGAAATAGATGACTAAGACAACAAAAAAAGAAAACAAGAATGGAATCTAATCAGACACATATACATACAAAGAAAGGCATGTGTAGGCAATCATACGCACATAAATACATAGACATATACATAGACAAACCCACAAAGATTAAAGTCTGATAGTATTAATGAGCGAATGCAAAATGTTCAAATATTACTTACATATATACATATAATAAAATTGTAAATAATTTACATATTTTAGATATAAAGAGGGTTTAATCGATAAAAGTTTACAGTGGTAGCATAGGAAAACAAATATTCCTCAATGAATAAAGTAAAGAAAAAAGACAAATATATGCAAATGGACGCACGAAATATATATGCAAAAAAAATGTATCTTATAACCATAACGTATAAACAGAAAATATATCAAATAACTGTCAGACTTAATCCATTTCATTACATGTCATTGTTTACGTTAAGATACGTTTAGATACATTTTGGCGAGCAG